TGGGTAGAGACATCCTTTTAGTTTTTATCTTCAACAGCCCCTCCCGAAAAAAAGAATTTTGTCTTTCGAAAACACAAGTTGTACAGACCTCGACAACACAACACGTGAATACTATGTCGCGATTAAGTGTTCTCATGCGCGAATGTATCGTCGCGGGTTCTTACGCGGACCCGAATATCGATCGCGAGAAATATTTATCTCGCGTATCGGAAAGCGACGACGCGGAAAACTATAATTTATTTTATAACTTCGTTTGCGAATGCAGCAGCATGCTACTCGTGTTGCTGTTTAACAGTGGAAGACTTTGTAACGATCGGATTCAAGAAATTGTGAGGGAAATCCTCATAATCAGACTTGATTTCGGGGAGGAAATGGAGGATGTCTGGGGTATGATCGGGGTTGTACTCAACCATACTAGGTAAGCGAAAATATCGTAATAATTATAAAAACTACGATACACTAGAAAAATATATGAAATTAATGATTATTATTTTCCATAGCCCAGGAAATTCAAACAAACATGTGATTTTCTCGCCTATAAGAACGGCGGTAGAAGACGTCGATAACGACGTGGGTAAGTTTACATATATCAGTAAAATATTAATTACGATTTATTTTAAAACCACTTTTTTATACGCTAATAATATATATAATTTCAGAAATCATCCAAAACGAGCAAGTTAACAAAGAAGTGGAGGTAATCGACATTTCTGGTGATATCGATGACCCACCAATTATCTAGGAACGCTTTCCCGACTATGTCATTGATATCAACGACCCAGCGATTAATTGGGAACATTACCCCATTGCCGAGATTCCGCTCCAGAAACGAAGTAAGACAGCGTTAATTTTCAATATAAATTCATATGTAAGTTCGACACAATTGATGATTTTATCGATCCTCCTTCTTTTCAGTAACCCCTCCGTTCATGATTCACCCTCCAGAATATTCTAGAGCACTCGAGACATTCCGAAAACTATGCGAAAAAAAATTTCTCTAATGTATGCGTACCTATGTAGATACTTTGATGGCTTCAATAAAAGTTCAAATTACAAAAATTGTTTATTGATTATTTTAATACAATAAAATATATTTTACAATATATTATCCTTGTTTATCCATGAGTTGTATGAATTGCTAAATCCCAACCATTTCACGTAAACCTTGTC